TCTCTCTCTCTCTCTCTCTCTCTCTCTCTCTCTCTCTCTCTCTCTCTTTAGAACATCTGAATTTTTAAATCCTTCTTTACAGGCTTCCTAGACCACTTTTGATTAAGAAAACTGTAGAAAGTTAGTAACTGCCACAAGCGGAAGCCAGTTGGTGGCACGTGTCAATTTCCACAGAGTCCTGCTTTTCGGGTGTCTGAATGCACTGCTCAGCGTCTCTCTCAAACTTGCTGGAATCACTCATGGCAGATTTTAGTCCACAGGTCGCTTTTCCCCATATTTCTTTATAAACTCTTCAGCATTCTTACAGAATTTTTTATGGTCCTTAGAGTATTCTTCAGCTGGGTCAGCCCGGAGTGGGTGCTCAGGCTCGGGGGTCATTCACCAGTACTATGAGGGACTGGATTACTTGGTCAGTCTTGGTGGCTGGCTTTCAGTTTTCAGTGCTAATTTCAGACACACCTGCCCCTTTTCATCGATGTTAGGGTGGTAGATCTTTGTTTTAAATGTGATCGTGGGTGGTATGGATACTCTGCTGGAAAGTTGATTTCAATTCTGAAGGCTCCCTTATCATATGGAGGGTTGTCAGGAATGATAAGCCCTTGCCAAGTCAATAAATTAGCTTCATCAGCCTGGATGTTACGGAAGTTTTTCATTCCACATTTGCGGATCTCTTCAAGTTCCTTCATCAGCCTCCTGCTGGCCGCCATCTTGGATCTGGTGCTGCTGCTTTCCCCTGGAAATTCTTTTATTGGAATTTTGACTGTGGGCAGTTTAAGTAACTTCTCATAACACTTCAGTACAATCTTCATTTAAGCTTTAGAATCACTTAACAAAGTTAAGACAACAAGAAAAACTCATTTGTAGCCATGGGCACCGTTTGGCATTTGAAAGTCATTATATGTATTTCTTCTGAAGATCTTGGTTCTTAATCCCAGATTGGCTACGTTGGTGTTGAGCTTTTCCTTTGCTTGAGATCTTTGGGAGAACATATCTGCATTTTTATAAGAGTTCATGCTGAGGAAAACAAGGTGTTTGCAATGGGATGGAGTGGGTGGGGCACGATACAACCCTAGAGGAGAATAAGCTGATCGAATATTGGTTGCACCAAATAGTAGTCATCGTTTTGCAGAATTACACTAAAGAATCATTAGCTTGCAGGCTGAGCACTGTAATAATGTCCTGCCCTCCAGAGTGCCTTAAAAACAAAGGCAGCCTTTGCATAATACAAAATGCATTTCTCTTCCTTTCTAGGCCTGATTGTGCTCATATAGTTTGTTGCTCTTCATCTTCAGTAATCACACTTCTGTTCTCTCAGCGTTTGTCCTGATGATAAGGGCTTGTTCATGTCAGACATGAACCCTCTCCTTTGAAGACAAGCCACTCATGAATCTCATACATCTGATTATGCTGATCACTCACTGCCTTTGTCCAACCCTGCAGCCTAATACAAAATTCCTGAAGAAAGTTAACCAGTATTTAATGGTACTGTGTGTGTGTGTGTGTGTGTGTGTGTGTGTGTGTGTGTGCAGCAGCATGGGCACATGCAGGATATACATATATGAGACCTACTACATTTAATTGGGGTTTCTTACATGAAAATGATTTGGAAGGATTGCTTGACCAAAGAGTGACTGTTACAGTGACCATCGCTGAAGGTGTGCACTCTATGTTTTAGGGCAAAGAAGTCCTGTGAGCTTAGTATAGGTTAAGGTCACAAGATTTTAAGAAAAAAAAAAAACCTTCAATTTTTACTCAAAGGTATTTTGTGTGTGGAGGTGTATCTAGTCAAATAAGTAGGTTTTTCTTTCTTATTTCCTTAAATCCTGTATTTTAGGATATTTCAAATATACCCAAAAATATAGATGATAGCATATATAATATATATATATATATATA